ATATTTTCATTAAAAAATATTAAAAATATATAAAAAAAACCAATCAAAGAAAAATATGGTGTGTACTAATTATTTTAGTGAGAATTTGTTATGTTGTTGTATAGGGATAACAATTGAATTCATCTATAATGGATACCCGCAAAAATTATTCACAACGGAAATGAAAAAAAATTGTAAAATAGATACGGACGCGGGCAAAAATAATTACCAACTAAAATAAGCAGATATGAGTGCGGGTACAGGTACCTTAGTACTCAGTCTGCCCATACCTACACTATATATATTTATTTATTTTTATTTTCATTATTATGTACAAATGTTAATCTATAATTTTTATTCAATAAATTACTATTAAATTTTTACGCATTTTAATAAAAATATTTGTTTATTTCTTATCTCAATATTAATATTCTCAATTTTTTTTAAATGTCTTTAAAAAATTAACATAAAATGATAACTTATAATTGATCGATAATTTGTTATTAAAAATGTAGATAAACGGGTATGAATATGAATACTTAAGTATTCACATGGTACGAATATGGGTACAAACTTTGGTGCTCAATTGATATGGAATTGAGTACGTGGATTTTTTTAAACTGCGGGCAATATATATATATATATATATATATATATATATATATATATATATATATATATATATATATATATATATATATATATATATATATATATATATATATATATATATATATATATATATATATATATATATATATATATATATTAGTTTTCGACGTTGAATATATGCATACATTGCATAATTATGTATATATTGTTGAGTATGATAAATTTTTTACAATAAGTATTCTATTTGATGGGTTTTTTTAAATAATTCAAAAAGTGACAGTATATGTTTGAATTTATATATATATATATATATATATATATATATATATATATATATATATATATATATATATATATATATATATATATATATATATATATATATTTTTTTTTTTTGACCATTTAAAATATTACTAATCTGAAAAAGCATTAGTTTAATAGAGCAATATTTTATAATAATATATCATACTTTTTTTTCCACAACTAAGGAAAATTCACAATATATATATATATATATATATATATATATATATATATATATATATATATATATATATATATATATATATATATATATATATATATATATATATATATATATATATATATATATATATATATATATATATATATATATATATAATTTGACCATTCAAAATTATATTAATCTGTAAAATTATTAGCTTAAGTAAAATAAGGAAATTTTAATTATTATAGTCAAGAATTTTAAAAGGTTCATGAATAATAATTTAAGATGTTAAATAGAGCAATATTTTATAATATTATATCATTCATTTTGTTCTACAAATAAGTAAAAAATTCTCAATACTTAGCAATATTTTATAATGTTATATAATCCATTTTCTTCTATAATTCACAATACTTATCCGCACACATAGAGAAACACACATATATTTTTTCTTATTTTTAATTATTTCGTTTTTTTAAAATATACAAAAAAGTTATTATAGCTAATACAGTGTATCTATTTTATTACATCAACTACCTACTCATTACTATTCATTACCACCAATCTACCATTTATACCCTTTCACTAAATTTTCATTCACACTACTTAAAACCCTTTTATGTAATTTACTAAATAATAATTCATCACCCAATCAGAAGAACCCATTTTACCAAGTGCCAGAAGTTTTTCAAAAAACTCTTACAATTTCCCTCTCACTCTTGTCTTCCCTCTTACTCTCAGCTTCTCTCTCTTCTCGTACCCTCTTTTTCCCTCTTTCTCTCACCTTCTCTCCCTTCTCGTACCCTCTTTCTCCTCTCTCAGAATTCTCTCTCTTTCTTGTATCCTCTCTCTATCTCTCGTACACCCTTTTTATTCTCAATGTTTCTTCTCAAAATCAAATTATGCGAAGAAGAAGGATATATGCTTGTGGGTTGTGGTGTTTATTTCAAACGAAGAAGAAGATGGAGATCTATTTATAGGTTGTGGTTTTGATTTGATTGTTTTCTGTATTTTTTATCCTTTGAACAAAGGGGTTTGATTTGGTTTGGGTAAATAACAATTTTTTTTTCGTTTTTGTTTCGATTTGGATGGAGGTTTTTATTTGATTGTGTGTTATGAGATTTGGTTTTAGTTTATATTTGTGTTTTATTGTGAATGTTTAGAAATTTTTTAATTTCAGTGTGGTTTTTAGGATTTTTGATGGTTTTGGTATTTGGTGAAGGTTTGAGAAAGATATGTAGTCCACCGTCGCCCTCGCATCGGTAAATAACTTTACTCTTTAAATTTAGCTTCATATTTCATCATTTTACATATGTTTCAAGGTGCGGTTTCTCTCACACAGCTCTGTTGGTTTTCATTTTTCCTCCCAAGTTGCGGTTTCTTGGTTGTGGTTTCACTCTCACCAACTCAGTTTTTGAGAACTCATTCCCTACAAAGGTTAGTTCAAATGTCCTATGTGTTGATTCTCAACTAAAAATATGCTTTTCACTTCATGTTTATCATACTTCCATGGGTTCTATTGAAATTAAGTTTGCAAAGATTGTTTATTTTAAATAGTGGTTTTATGTCCCATGTTCATATATGAAAGCTTTTCCTTACAAAATCATGTTTTTGGATGGTATTTTAATGTCCTTTGTTCTATTATTTGCTGTAAAAAATAATGTTTCCATGTTAAGTTTAATGTTCTTTGTTCTATTATTTGCTTTCAACTATGCTATTTCAAAAACAATGTTATTTTTCCAGCATTTACAGTGAATCACTACAATAAAAACGATGGATTGCGACCGTTATTTTGGCAGGTTACGAAGGTTAAAACCACCACCAATTACATTCTACTACGGTTGTAGTACCGTCACAGAAACATGTGTCCCCAGGCTGTTTAGCGACGGTTGAAAAAACCGTCACACACAACTGTCGTTATATTTCACGACGGGCTTGAACTGACCTAAACTGAAGATAGCGACGGTTAAAGACCGTCGTTACTAGCCTTTTGATTTTTATTTTCATTGTTGATTGTGACGGTTTAAAACTGTCGTGAACTCTATTTCACGACTGGTTGGAACTGAAATAAATTGGAAATGACAACAGTTAAATACTATCGTGAATATCCTTTTGATTTTTGTTACCATTGTTGATTGTGACGGTTTAAAACTGTCGTGAATGTGATATCTTGACAGTTCATTATTAATTTTTATATATTGTATTATATTGTTTTATAATATATTCTTTTATTTAAAATATCATCTACTAAAATAGTTATATTATTTTTTCTTTAAATTATTTATACAATAATATTTTTATTTATAGTTTTTTTTTATTTTTTTCTATCGCTTTTTAGCGTAGTAAAATTAATTCCAAAACTTAATATCAAATAAACATTATAATATCGAAAAAACGTGAGTTTCATAATCATGTAAAATGAAAGTTCCATAATCATGTCATGTAATACAAAAATCCGAAAACATATCAAATCATAATCGTATAAAATAAGTATCATTGTGCCAAAAATGAATACAGAATTGTCACCAAATTTTACAAGATCTTGTGAAGTTGCTGCGACCTCAGAAGCCTTTACTAATAGATCAGCTGCAGGCGAAAATTCGACAACCCTTCTCACAATAAGGTGGCGATAGTAGTCCTGGACAACCTGAAATTTCAAAAATTAAATGAATGAAGATTAACCATCACAACTCCTTATTGTTTTGCCAACACAAAAAAACTTATCGAAATAAAAAATGGATTAAAAAATAATAATATTGATGGGTTATTAAAATTGGGAATCCCGTTCAGAAAAAGAGTATTCCCATTCATAGTAAATATAAATTTTGTTCATTTTCAGCAACAAACTTACCCAAAAGCATGATATGTAAATTAGAGATGCAAAATCTACAAAACTTCAATAGTACTAGTGATAAAAAGAAATACAAGCTACAGACTTACTTGCCACTGAGAGGAAGCTAAGAACTTACAGCTATAGATTTCATGCTCTTCCCTCCATAACCTCCACCAACTCTTCTTGTAATTACTCTAACATTATTTTCAGGAATACCAAGGCAACTTGCTATAGTAGAATGTACATACTCAGGGTTTTGACTTGACGAGTAAACTGTCATGCAATTGTCTTCGTCCGGTACAACAAGTGCGGTTTGCGTGCATGGAAGTGTAACCTGCTAGACTAATCATACACCAGGTAGTGAGTGTTGTGGGATACCTAATAAGAGTAAATAGCTCACACAACCAGACAAGAATCAAGATCATAAAAGCAAGGAGTTGATCATCATAAAACTCAAAGAGGAAAAACAGAATACCAATCATAATCTGCAGAAATCAATAAGCAATTTATCAGCAAAGCTAATACAACAAGAAATAACATAAATCACATGCAATTCAAATGAATAATTTCAACAAATAAGTGCTTACAGGAACAAAGACCAGTGATTCAATGACATGTACAAAGATCAACTGAAATGTAGGAAGGTGATATCGAGCATGGTGTTGAAGTTGCACTGTAAAGAGTAGAGACTAACAAATGTGAAAAGCTAATCCCATTTTTTGCAAGAAAAGAAAATAGTTGATATCTTTTAGTATAGAAAGAATTGAAAATCATCCCTAAGCCATTACCCTCAATACTTTCTTTGCTTTCTCAATTTCAAGAGGATCAGGATGATTTGCACTAAATACCCTCTCCATCTGTCAAATTCAACAGAAGCCTAAATATGCAGAATATAAGATCAAAACATCTCAAAGAAAGTATAATTTAATCAAAGTTTGTTTTTAGCCACCTCCTGTATTAGTGTGTCTGTGTGAAGAATCTGAATATCATCAGGAGCCTTCTTTCCTGAGCCATTTTGTGATGACAAAAAATCTTTTCTAGGTTGACCTTTAGGAACCCCTCTACCTCTTCCAACTCCTGGAACACTATCATGTCCAACAGACCTATTCATCCCATGACCAGATCCCCCAAAACCCCCACGATGATTAATTCCAAGATCCTCAGGTACCCACTGAATATCTTCGGGAGATATTTGCAGTTAAAATACTGCATCTGAATTAGCAAAAACAATATAATATTAACATATGTTGAATAAATCAACAGCAACAACAAGAGAATTCATTATTAAAACCATCTTCTAGATATTATTGAATAATCAATATACAAGGAAAGAGCATTTCTTCCATATTAATAAAATCAAAGAACCAAATTTCAGGAACTAGATTGAAGTTTTTACCAAATTTCTCTATGATTCTTATACAATGTCAATGACCATACATGTTAAGTTGAATATAAATTATATACAAATACTGATTTCTTCACTATGTTTCTTTATATTAAAATGTGTAGATTAAAGTATAATTAGTGGGGTCCATAATTCATATATGTAAACTTGAGTAAAAGCTTAAAATACTCTGCACTTGAGGCTACTGTCAGCAATCAGTATCAACCAAATCATGGTCTATGTCACTAAATGAAATTGTTGTAAAACTAAAGATTTAGCAGTTAATTAATCTTAGTAGTAGATTTCAGCCCTGAATAGGCACTGGAATTTTCAGTTTTGTCAAACACAGGAATTTTCAAAGCAGAATAATCAAAAGTGGCTAATATAGCTCTGGAGCAAGGCGGAGTAGAACTCCTTAAAAGTCGAATGGCTGTCACATGCTATTTCTGTATGGTGGCCACCACAGCATAGGACAACGTGTGTCAAGCAGGTGAAAATATATTAGATTGTTAAAATAAGAAACTCCCTATGAAAGTTTAGAGTAGATGCAACCTTTCCTAATGAAAAGAAATCACAACATAGGATAGAATAATCAAAGTTTAGAGTAGATGCAACCTTTTAGAACCAAGCTTCCCTCCCTATGAAAAGAAATCACTAAATTAACCTCACTAGATGCTAAAATGCACCTGACAGCCTAAATTGGGCATTTTAAGTCTTTTTCCTATGGTGTGTTTGGATAAGTGGAAAGGGAAGAAACAAACAAATGAAGAAAATAACAGCACCAACCTTTCATACTTTGATTTTTCTACTCTTCTATGATTGGGAACTAACCAGATAACAAATAACAATAGTTGTGCTGCGACCCCGTCCAGCTTTGCAGTGGACATAGGTAGTTCGTCCAGACAATGCATTTTCTTTATCAAAAGAACCAAATCAGGGAAAAACGTCAAAAAAAGTAACAAACAAGTGTATAATAACTAAATTATAATGAGGAGCATAGTTATTACAAGCCTACGATTAGATGAATTTTATAACTACTCTGAGTTCTATTTAGTTTTACCCAGAAGTGAGAGGTGAAAAGACTTTAAGAAGGGTAGAAAAATACAGTTACAAATGAGCATAATTACTAAAGTTAAAATGAGAAACATTGTTATTATAAGCCTACCAGTAGATGCATTTTACAACTTCTACATACATATGAATTTTTTCTGACTTCTATTATTATTAATAATAATTATTTTTACCCGGGAGGAGAATGGTGGAAAGAAGTAAAGCTCAAGAGTATAAAATACACTGCACAAAGTATACAAAGAAACATCCAACACATAATATCTAATCAGGTCAAGAACTACGCAACATTTTATAGTTAAGTCTAATTATCAATTATCATTTTCCCATGACAGAAAAACACTTGTACATGCAATCAGATATTATCATGAACCCAATTGTATAGTACTTACTATGTATGAAACCAACAGTGCGGCATATGTCATTTAGTGGTAGAGCAAAACAGTAATCTCTAGTAGGAATCACCAGATGATCAATCCCATGAGCCTGCCAAATTTAAACAAGAAATTAAAACATTGAGTATATTTAAGAACACATTAATTTTATCATGAAAACACCCAAGATGCTATAATAACCCCAGACTACAATGCCGAGAGAGAGAGAGAGAGAGAGAGAGAGAGAGAGAGAGAGAGAGAGAGAGAGAGAGAGAGAGAGAGAAAGAACATATCACAACACCCATTATTAGGAAATAATATAAATCTAGTATTCAAAAGTATTAAGCTAGGAAGCAAGTGAAAAAAATTAATCTAAATCAACCCCTCAAAACACTAAAATAGTAAAAACGAGGAATACTCACATGATATAATATGGTTGGAACTAAAGTCTCATATGGCTCATTCAATGTGATGACCCCACGAACACCAAGATCTTTCAAGCGAGGAACATCAATAGGAAATGGAACCGCGCCTAACAATACAAACTGAAAATTAAGTGCATCAGATTCGGAACACCGTTATTCCCAAACAATAGAAGACATTTTTCACGCATAATCAAATAAAAACATCCATGAAGGAGACACCATTAAATACTTAAAGAACATATGTATCTGATACCATCAAAAAACTTCGCCATCAAAATCAATGAGATTTGCAAATCCTTTCATCTTAGATTGAAATTACTTTCATCAAAAAACATATTTTGGTAGATTGAAAATCTGTAATGGAATTTGCAAATCCTTTCATCCAAAGAGAAATTACTTCCAATTCTATAGCCAATAACTAGTGTTCTAAACTAACCCAAGTTGGGTCTGAAAACTCTTAGTAAAAAAAAAAGAGAAACAACAAATCCAAAACACTAACTAGTACTTATACATAACAACATACAATATTCAAAAAATAACAAAAAGCAATTGCAAATTAACAATGCAATATGAACCAATAATGAAATCATACCTCATCAACCTTATCCCACCATCGAAACTCAGCCTGAAGCCTATTCCTAACAACATTATAAACAAGCGTGGGATAGAATAGCGCTCGAGCGCCTGCTCCAACCAAAACCCTCTTCATATCAGAACCAACAAAGCTCCATTTCCCTTCCTCTCCACCTTCTTCAACCTCACCTCCTTTCAATTCCTCTATACGCATAACTCACTTCCAGATCAAATCAACAGTTACAATTTACAATAACCTAATTCACAAATTGTAACCAGTTATGAACACCCCCTTCACGTATATCCTATCCACGATTCTATTACAATAAATAAAATAATAACGAAAAAGAAAATCGATTATCCCAAATTGAAATTTGGGGATCGCGGAGTCGATGATGGAAACCTAGAAATTCGAAATTCTACAACAACAATAACTGGAACGAGGAAAACGAGAGAGAGAGAGAGAGAGAAAGAGGTTGATTCATAAAATAGAAATAGAAATTTTCCATGATCTATCAGAAGATGGATGAGTGGTTGTTAAATCTGCAAGGACGTGAGGGGCAAATTCTTAAAAAGAAGTGAAAAATACGTGGAAAGAATTCTTAGTTTCTGCGGGAAGATGAAATTTTGGAGCACGATGGTTGGATATCACCGTCACAGATGAAATTTTGAACTAACGATAACGACTGTAGCTTCCAGTCATAATACAATTTTATTTTAATAAATTTTTTTATTTCTCTATTTTGATTGAATTATTTTGTTTATTTGATATTTTATAATATTATGATTATGAGTATATATAGTTTAATTTTATATTTAATTTTTATTATAAAAATTGTTTCTAAAATTTTGATATATAGTTTAATTTTAATACTTTAATTTTGGATATAATATTTTAAATTTAATTTTTACAATAAAAATTGTTTTTAAAATTAAAATTTTATTTTGAGTATGTATAATATTTTCATTTTTATGTATTTTAAGTTTAATTTATTACTATAATTATATTTTATAAATGATTTTAGTCATTTATTTATTTAAAATACATAGACTTATTTAGATCCGCCATTGGTTATAGTTTGTGTTACTGGGTTTAAGGGGCGACAGTTGTTCTACCGTCGGGACATAAAATTTAGGGCGGCACTTGAGACAGTCATGAACTTATTTGTAGGACGGCTTAATGATAACAGTCGTAATATTTAATAATCTTTTAAAAATATAAGGACGGTAGGTGTATACTGTCGTGAAACGCGTCTCTATATTAGAGTTACGACAGTTATCAAGTAACTGTAGCAATTTTTGTGTCGTAAAACTCTAATTTTCTTATAGTGAATCTTAAATCAGTTTTACAGAGCATCTATCATGTGACAATAGATGTGTGTAATGATTATTATTATCCATTCGTTTTTAGCGTTAAGTTACAGTTTGAGATTAAGAGAGTGGATTTAACAATTTTAATTTGTTATCCTTTGAAATTCTACAGACACTTGAAATGCTAGAGAAAAAGGAAAATGTGCTTCTTAAAAAGGTCGGGGCAGAAATTGAAAAAGCCAAAGAATTCACTAAAGGAAAGAACAAAAAGGATAGGTTCTTAAACTGAATTTTTGTACTTGTTCTTCAGTGTTTTCTTTAATCCTACTTTCCTTATTTTTAATTACGTGCGACTCAAGTTTTCATTTTATACAGCGGAAATTCAATGTTTGAAGAGGAAGAGGCTATATGAGTAGCAAATTGAGCAGCTTGGAAATTTCCAGCTGCGTATTCATGACCAGGTGCAAATGCAATCGTATTTGGTATTAGTTCAGACAATGGTTCATATTATTAATCTTCTTTTGCATCTTTTGGTGGTGATTTGTGTTATAGATGATAATGTTAGAAGGTTCTACAGCCACCACAGAAACAGTGGATACGTTACGAACAAGAGTCGCTGCTATGAAGGCTATGCAGAAAGCAACGTACTTACTGCTATTATATGAATCTAAATCTTTAATGAGCTATTGGTTATGATTTATGACATTACTATGGTCTTGTTTTTACTTGTTTATTTGAACTTATCTACTAGCATAAACATTTGTGAGACTGTTTAGAAGTTGTGAAAACACCTTATGACATGCTTATAGCTGTTTTTCATCTACATCCATAAGTTCTTCAATATAGCATATGCAATTATGAATAGCTTATAGCTTATATCTAAGCAAAGCACTTATATGATAAACACCTATGCTATAAGTGCTTAATTATGTTGTTCATCCAAACATGAACTAAGTTTGCTCCTGTTTCTTTTTTCAGGAATATTGACGATGTCGACAAAACCATGGATGAGATAAATGAACATATTGAGAACATCAAGCAGATTCAAGAAGCATTGTCAACTCCAATTGGTGCAGCATCTGATTTTGATGAGGTAATTCTCTCAAATATTTACTTATTTGTTATGTCGGTTGCAAACATGATATTTGTACCTTTTGATTATTTATAGTGTTTAACAGTGCTAATGTGTGTCCATGACTGTTGAGATGGCTCATAGTTTAATCATAAGAGGGCAGGTCACTCACAGTTCAGGGGTAATCTTGTATAATGGACCGTAGTATTTAAGCACAATTGTAATGTATAAACCCTAGACTTGAATAATAGAAAGATAATCCAGCCGTACTACAGTAGGCACAATTGGTTGAACTCCGTGATCAAATCTCGTATGCTCTTTGTTTGCGTTTTTTTCGTATGTGTTTGCTTTTGAACTGGGGTTGTAATTCTAACAATGAGGTGTTCTGAATTTATTGTCCTTTTCAGGATGAACTGGAAGCAGAACTTGAAGAATTGGAGAGTGCTGAGTTGGAAGAACAACTTCTTCAGCCAGCAACTACAGCTTCGGCTGCCACATCATACGTCCCAGCTGGGCGGCAACCTACACGCCCTGTTCCTGCAAAGCCAACTCCTAAGGAAGATGAATTGGCCGCTTTGTAGGCTGAGATGGCACTTTGATCGGCAGCTTTGCATCCTGCCTATAATCATATTCTTCTTACAGGCAGTTGAATTGTGGTTCTACCAATTGAATCAACCATATTTACTGTGAATTATTTAGTGATTATTTCTCAATGGAGGCAAATATATTGGCTTATATAAACATGCCAATTTTAGGTCCTGACCTGGTTTACGATTTAGGTGTAGACAGAGTTGTTGACCAGGATACTGTTGTTGCTGATAAGGTATATTATGAATTTTCTTCGTGTGAAAGTACGTATCGACTAGGTTGTAAAGTGACATGTTTTAACTATTAAGATTTTGTGAATAGACAATGGCCATAATTTGTGTAACACATTGGAGCTATTGCGAGTTCACGAGCTGCAGAAATATATGGCCTGAACATTCTTGCTGAAGGAAATCCAAGAACACTGAGGCCTCATAAGGTATATAAGTTGTATTCAAATACTTCTTACTTTATGAATTTTTTGTCTGGTTCGGGCTTTTTCTTCTGCGTGATAAGAATACACGTGTTACTGAGTTTCCAAATGATGATTAATTTTCCAAAGAAACATATTGACTTCCCTATGAGTTTGTGTATACAAGATGAATTGTATTGAAGATTTGCAACAGATATTTGACGAAGATACAATAACAACTTCTATTTAATGTGTCTTGGTGATGCGGTAGCTTGGTTGTTCATAATTCAAAATATTTTATGCATTGCTGAAGGACACCCAACCTACAATATTGGAGTGGGGCTTGGGAAGAAGAAAACAGATGAATTTGAGCATTTTGTTTGGAAACTAGGTATGAAAAAATACTGCATTAGATTTTGATTCATATATTAGAGACACATTGAATTGTGTTTTTATTTTCTAATTTTACTTGGATGTATTTTTATTTCTGCTTTAGCTGTTCATATGATAAGGGTCATCACAAGATGTGGATCACACGGTAGTTGAAAGTCTAAGCTAAAACAATCGTTACGGAATTCGTTTAGTGATTTTTCTATTTTGTTAGGTTTCATAAATTCTATGAATATGAAGAAGATGCATGAAATTATGGCTTCAAATAAACATCGGTATCAATTGTTTTAAGTTTCTGCATTACGGGTAATCCATTTTCGTTTTAGTTGAATCTTGTTTTTCCATTGACCACATATTTAATGTAGTTTCTATTTCCTTCTTCAATTTTTCAGAGCTTTTACTTTAACATGGGAACTACAATTATGGAGCTGCTAGAGAAGCTCTGAACGATTCAGTTACCATTGCCATGCTGAAATTGATTCAGTTAGTTTGTAAACTTTGAAGTTAGTTATGAAGAGCTGGAAGTCAGTGGTTGTTATGTTTAGTTGGAAATGCTAGTGTAAATGGTAAGTTGTTAGATGTACTTCAAATAGTGAAAACTCAAAGGAGTTAGTTCTTGAAATTAGTAATCTATTGTTAATTTTCTATTAACTTTCATGCTTGAGTTTTGGTTATTGCAATGCACAACTTTAAATTAAAGTTAAGTCGAAATTATGTCAGTTGTTGCAGAATCCCAGTTGAATTAGTTTAGCACAATTCAAGTTGGTTATTTTTTAATTTTAAATTTCAATTAGTTGGATTTGGTTTTTTTGTATGACAACAATTGGTTCATAAATATGCTCTTGCTGTGTTAGCTTTTCACCATGCAAGTTCATTAAGTTATCAATGATGAAAGTCCATATTACATGGCTCCGGAGGTATTGAAGAGAAATTATGGCCCAGAAGTAGATATTTGGAGTGCTGGAGTTATTCTATACATCTTACTTTGTGGTGTGCCTCCATTTTGGACAGGTTAGTTTCGACTTGTGATTCAGTGAATGATGTTTGATTGTTAAAAGAGAGGATTTTCCCATTTCACTTCAGAGTTATTCCAATTTCATTATTATTTGTTGTTTTTATTTTTTCTGTTTGATTAAACTGATTTACTAAACTTTGTCTCTCTTCCTCTTTTGTGAAATGAAGAAACTGAGCAAGGAGTTACACAAGCAATTATACGATTTGTTGTTGATTTCAAAAGGGACCCATGGCCTAAAGTACATGATGAGAATACCAGGTATCAATTTCCTCTCCTCATATAGAAGTGACTTATATCCTGTTTAACTTGAATACCCTAGAAAATCATTCTTGCAGATAACTTTGACATGATTTATGTTGTTACTAATATCTGTGTTGCTTGGTTATGTAGGTTGAAGGACCAAATCATGATAATTAAATACCACTTGGA